TTACCAAAAACTTCACAAATTACTTTCCTAGACGCTCTGTTATCTCCGACTATCCTTTGTATCTCTATGGCTCCGTATCCACGAACGTGATACAGTCAGGTTTCTAGGCCCTCTCTTTGACGGCGGTTATTCCTGGAAACCTCACATTTCCTCTCTGAGGCAACTTGTCACAGCCGGCTAAACCCATCTTAATACCCTTGCTCATCTTTTCCTGGGGAGCTGATCGTCGAACTCTGTTTCGCCTACATTCAGCCCTCGTTTTATCGATAACTCGCTTATGGTGGACTGATTTATTCCGCGGCCTCCCTGCTACTTCTCTAGCCTTAAACTCTATCATCACCAAGGATTACGTTTGTGCCTTGGTGCTTTTCACTCTTCCCCTGTTGAGAGCCTCTATTACAGAAGCGAATGTTCCATCCTTGTCTGATCGCCGTGTGTGATGGCCCATTGCCTTCGCTACTATGTACGCTCTCACAATCTACACCAATCCTTCCATTTTTAGAATGGTCACCGATATTAGTTAGACATTCTTTATTCGTTCGCGCCCCTGTTTTGCTCCATCCCTTTTCTCTTCGCCTACATTCACCTTGTCTTCCCTTCAATTACCACCTTTTATGTTCATGTACATCTCACTTTTCCCTACCCCCTGGGAAGTTCCAGCTGTTCGGGTCTGTTCTTTCTCACTCCCTTGCTCGGAAAGCTGCAAACTGCTTCGGTGGCTTCCCGCTCTTTTTTCTTGATCACTTCCACTCCCATTCTCATGCCACCGCTGTGTACACCAGGATGGCTCTAAGTCTTTAGACGGGTCGGATTCGCAGCGTGTTCCGGACAGCGGTCGTCGTGGCATTTACTTTCTTTCCAGCTAGCATTTTTTACTGCTGGAACTGTATGCCATTCTTGCAGCACTTATTGTATCGCATCTATTGCCTGTGTCATCATTTTGTAGTAGTCTCTGGGATCCCTTAGTGCTCTACAGGCTATAACGAAAATTTGGATACTCATCTCTCCCCTAGTTCTCAATAATCCAACTTTGGCTACGCCGTATCTCTGCAAACATAAAGATATTTTTTTTGTTGGGTCCTGGTCATGTCGGACGTACAGGCAATGAACAGGCAGACACTGCTGATGCGGTCAGCAAGTACATGGACCTACCAATTTCCTATTGAGGTGTTCCATTTCTGGACTATTTTGCTGCAATAGCTTACCCACCTTCGCACCGTTGGCAAACAAGTTGGTCAAACTCTGCTCGGTAACAAACTTCATTCTATTAACGAGCATAGGTTATGGCCGTCTTCTTGTCATCAGTGACGAGGTTGGGAGACCACTCTCCTCCGCCTTCGCATGGCCACACTGTCTTACTCATGGGTATCTCATGGAGAGGCACCCTGTTCCTCTCTGTGAGCAGTGCTCAAGTTCCAGTATCGATTAGCCCACATTCTGTTAGACTGCCATATCACGAGCACGCAGAAAATTTACTCCAACTTCGTCTTCGATCTACTAACTCTCTCTTTACCTTCCTTCTGCTGATGGACCCTCCTTTTAATCCTGACACTCTCATTGACTTTCTTGCAACGGATGATATTTACTCACAATTCTGATGATACTTTTCGCACTCCCCTCGCCCTTTTAGTTAGTCTCTTGCTGCCTTTACCCTTTCAACTATCCACTACCCCGCTGTTATCCGTAACCTATTCTCATCCCATCTCCCTTTTGCCAACTGATGCCCTCGCTTCCTTCTGCCCTGCAGGCGCGTATAGTCCTTGTGCTTAGCGCTTCTTTTTTGATTATAATAATAATGAAAAAATAAAAAGTATTTGCACCTATTAGGTGCTGTAACCCATAGCCCCTCTCCAGCATGAGCACTGAAATCTAGACCTCTCATTTCCATGACCCAGTCTAACAAGATCTCTCCTAATCATCAATCAGTCAATCTCTCTCTCTCTCTCACACACACACACACCTTGATACCTTCAATTACCAAACAGGAAAACAGGGTTTAGAGCAGGGTGCTCCTGCCTGTCCCAGCTATGGACCACTATGACAAGGTCCTGGATGCTGTAGAGGTTTAAAATACAGATGTAGTATACACAGACTTGCAAAAGCTTTCAACAAGTGTGACCATGTGTAATAGTGCACAAAATGCATGATAAAGGAAATTTAACTTGAAAAGTTGGTAGATAGATCTATAACCTGACAAATAGACACAGAGTATAGTAAACAGAGTAAAGGTTGAGGCAGCTTAATGTGAAATGCTCTGTTCCACAAGGCACAAGAACTCGCTCCCATTCTGTTCCTTATCCTCATATCTGACATAGATGTAAGCCATAGCTCTGTGTATTACTTTAGGATGATCACCAGGATTGCCGTGGAAGTTACCCTCCATTGAAGATACCGCAAGACTCCAAGCAGGACATCAAACCAAATCTTCAAAAAGGCCCTCCAAAACATATGAAGTTCAATGAAGAGAAATTTCAACTATCAGATATGGAAACTCAAGGAAATTATAACTATCAGGGTATACGACAAATTCTTATTCATACAATAAAGCAAAAAAGTGAAAGGCCTGGGAGTGATATGTCAGAGGATCTAAACTTTCAGAGGACCACAACAATGTACAGTAGACCGTTTCAACTCCCTCAATAGCACGCAGTTTAATTTGCACGATTTGGATATAGCACTACTGAAGAATTTTGGGACACAATTTTATGTAACACGTGTAAGATGAATTTTGAACACGGTTCAGTTTGCGGGAGGGAAAAAAACTTCCCTTTTCCTCACTAGCGGCCTGCCTTGTGTGGATCTTGGGGGGGTGTTACCGGAGGTTATTCGGATCAACGCCCCTGTGGCCAGGTGGTCCATGCCTCCCCAGCCACCTCCCCGACACCACCCCCCCCACCATTTTGTACTTCCATTGTGTCCACAATTATCGTGGTTGTACAACACACACACACACACAAACACACACCACACACACACACCACAAGCTTGTGATTTGTGAATTGTGTTTTGATCTTTAATTGTTATATCTTGTATCTGCCCAAGCAATCATGACACTCAGTAGGCCCTACCAGTGTTGCTCAAAGTGGCAAGAAAGGGGTAAGTGTTTTAAGTCTTAGAATTAACGAAGGAAACAAAGATATCAGACAATACATCCTGTGGCCATAATGAAGTGTTACTTTGTATACATAAAAAAGAGGCAAAAATAAGTTTGTGTGACTGACTGAATGACTGACTTACTGAATGATTTGACTGACTTACTAAATGACCTTACTGTCTTACTGAATGACTTGACTGACTTAGTGAATGACTTGACTGACTTAGTGAATGACTTGACTGACTTAGTGAATGACTTGACTGACTTAGTGAATGACTTGACTGACTTAGTGAATGACTTGACTGACTTAGTGAATGACTTGACTGACTTAGTGAATGAATTGACTGACTTACTGAATGAATTGACTGACTTACTGAATGAATTGACTGACTTACTGAACGACTTGACTGACTTACTGAATGACTTGACTGAACTTACTGAACGACTTGACTGACTTACTGAATGAATTGACTGACTTACTGAATGATTTGACTGACTTACTGAATGACTTGATTGACTGAATGACTTAGACACTCCAGTTCAACCATCAACTTCAGTACCAGAACCTCTACCATCCACCTCAGCCCAGTAGGACCACAGCATAACTCTCCACTCTCTTCACAATCATCCACATACACCAGCACCCACAATTTAAGGTAAGAAATACTATTATTTCAGTTACATTTGTAGCCTTAAGCAGTAAAAACAACATAATACATCACAACAATGAACTACAATTACATATTCACTTTTATTTTTATAAGATGTGGAGGCCTAAACAAAGTTGTTTGGCTTTTTTGGGGCTCTCAGGAATGTAACCCTATTTTTCCCATGAGTTCTCCAGTTCATCTAACACGGTTTTACCTAACACAGTGTTTTCAAGAACGTAACTACCATGTTAAACAACTGGCTACTGTATCTACTGCATCTGCTAGGAAAATGATAGGATGGATAGTGAGAACCTTCAAAACTAGGGATGCCAAGCCCACGATGATTCTCTTTAAATCACTTGTTCTCTCTAGGCTGAACTACTGCTGTACATTAACTGCCCCCTTCAGGGCAGGCGAAACTGCTGACCTGGAGAGTGTACAAAAAACTTTCACGGCACACATAAGTATGATAAGGCACCTAAATTACTGGGAACAGTTAAAGTCCCTTGATTTGTATTCCCTGGAATGCAGGCAAGAGAGATACATGATAATATACACTGGGAAAATCCTTGACGGATTAGTACCAAACTTGCACACAAAAATCACTTGCTATGAAAGCAAAAGACTCGGCAGGAGATGCAACATTTCCCCAGTGAAAAGCAGGGGCACCGCAAGTACAATGAGAGACAACACAGTAAGTGTCTGGGGTCAAAGATTGTTCAACTGCCTCCCAGCATACTTAAGGGGATTACCAATAAACCCCTGGCTGTCTTCAAGAAAGCACTGGACAGGCACCTAAAGTCAGTACTTGACTAGCCAGGCTGTGGTTTGTACATCAGTTTGTGTGCAGCCAGTAGTAACAGCTTGGCTGATCAGACCCTGAGCCACCACAAGGCCTCAGACCGAGCTGTGGAGGTGTTGACCCCTGAAACCCTCTCCAGGTATACTCCAGATATACCTGCCTTAACTTAATCATAATAGTGTTGTAACATTATGACCCATACAATTTATCTTCTGTTTTTAAATCTATAGTAGTAATGATAATAATAATAATAATAATAATAATAATAATAATAATGTAACAGTGCTAATATACTAAATAAGCTTTTATATAATGGAAGCTGCAGGCACTAGTTTTCTGGGTTGTCTTAGTGTGAAAAATATGCATGGAGTATTAGAAAGTGGCCAAAATTTGCTTGAGAATAAGAATGACAAAAAGCTTAAACAATGATGTTTGTATCTAACAATGTACTTACATCTTTGTACTGAGCTCCGGGAAAACAGGAGGAACGGCTGACACAGAGAGAACTGCATTTCCCAGCACATACACAATGGAGATGTAGAAAATTGTCCTGAAAAAATGCAATTTGAGTTAGGAAAATATTACACTATTACTTCAAAATTCAAAAATTCAGAATCTTTATGGAAATAAAGTACAGTATGCAAAGGATAAAGGAATAGTCAAGATGTTTGACAGACTAAATGGAAAATCCCTTGTTATGCAGAGTATTTTGGGCAGCCTTAAAATTAACTTATAACTACTAAACAATTATTTCATAAGGTTACACAGTTACGAAAAGACGATTGACTAAATGTCAAGAAAAAGCCATTACAATTGCTATGGTTGTGTTGTTAATAATAATAATAATAATAATAATAATAATAAATCTTTATTTCTAAAAAGTGCATACAATTAATACACACCTAGCTGACATGGTTGACATATTAAATAGAAATCCCTGGTTTATGCAGAACATTCTGGGCAACTTAGGCTAATCTTGTCCACCAGGATGCAACACACACCAGTCAACTAACACCCAGGTACCTACTTACTGCTAGGTGAGCAGTGGCAGCAGGTGTAAGGAAACATGCCCAAGCCAGGGGTATTGATCCAGAATCCCTGGATCAACCAGGTTATAACCAGAGGGGTGATTGCATGGACAGTTTCACTTCAGCATGGGATATGATTAAAATAAGATTTGTTCGGATATTTAACTCGGTGTTTAGCCACCCAGGATAACCCAAGAAAGTCAATGTATCATCGAGGACTGTCTTATTTCCACTGGGGTCCCTCAGTCTTCGTAGGACACTCAGCTCGCATACTGAGGTCTGGGGGTCGATTCTCGGGGTGGAAACATTAGGACGTGTTTCCTTAAGACACCTGCTGTCCCAGTTCATCTGTCAGTAAGGTACCCGAGTGTTAGTCAACTGGTGTGGGTTGCATCCTGGGATAAAACTGACCTAATTTGTGGGAAATGCTCAGCATACCAAGGGGCTTTCTATATACGTAGTAGTATGTCATTGTTGTCAGCTAGGCCTGTATACCATGTACATGTACTTGTAGAAATAAAGATTATTATTATTATGAATAAGCTACAGGTTTCTGTACCTAATGTATATATATCGTAACATCTGTGGTAGTGTGCTCAACCCACATATAGAGCAGTCTCACCAAGCAGTTTGTATCAGGGCATTAGCCAGCAGGAATGGGTCACATCATAATATAAATACGTAATAATAATAAATAAATATCTTTATTTCTACAAGTACATGTTCAAGGTATATAATTCTCACTGACATCAATGACATACTACTGTATAGAAAGTCCCTTGTTATGCAGAACATTTCGGGCAGCTAAAGTTAATTTTGTCCCTAGGATGCAACCCACACCAGTCGATTAACACCCAGGTGCCTGTTTTACTGCTAGGTGAACAGGGACAGAAGGTGTCTTAAAGGGTCCACGTCCTAATGGTTCCACTCGTACCGGGGATTGAACCATGGTCCTCAAAGTGAACCATAAAGTAAGTGTTGTGATTCCATATAAATAAAAATGTTATAAGTAAGCACCCTAAGTGTATATTTAATTTCCTCAATATAAATAGGTAATTTTTGTAATATTACTAATTGCTGCAACAATTAATATTTATTATATAAAGCTTAAAGCAGATGTTGCAAGTGTATGGTGTAGGAGGTAGGTTACTGAAAGCAGTGAAGAGTTTTTACGAGGATAGTGAGGCTCAAGTTAGAGTATGTAGGAAAGAGGGAAATTATTTCCCAGTAAAAGTAGGCCTTAGACAAGGATGTGTGATGTCACCGTGGTTGTTTAATATATTTATAGATGGGGTTGTAAGAGAAGTAAATGTGAGGGTCTTGGCAAGAGGCGTGGAGTTAAAAGATAAAGAATCACACACAAAGTGGGAGTTGTCACAGCTGCTCTTTGCTGATGACACTGTGCTCTTGGGAGATTCTGAAGAGAAGTTGCAGAGATTGGTGAATGAATTTGGTAGGGTGTGCAAAAGAAGAAAATTAAAGGTGAATACAGGAAAGAGTAAGGTTATGAGGATAACAAAAAGATTAGGTGATGAAAGATTGAATATCAGATTGGAGGGAGAGAGTATGGAGGAGGTGAATGTATTCAGATATATGGGAGTGGACGTGTCAGCGGATGGGTCTATGAAAGATGAGGTGAATCATAGAATTGATGAGGGGAAAAGAGTGAGTGGTGCACTTAGGAGTCTGTGGAGACTAAGAACTTTGTCCTTGGAGGCAAAGAGGGGAATGTATGAGAGTATAGTTTTACCAACGCTCTTATATGGGTGTGAAGCATGGGTGATGAATGTTGCAGCGAGGAGAAGGCTGGAGGCAATGGAGATGTCATGTCTGAGGGCAATGTGTGGTGTGAATATAATGCAGAGAATTCGTAGTTTGGAAGTTAGGAGGAGGTGCGGGATTACCAAAATTGTTGTCCAGAGGGCTGAGGAAGGGTTGTTGAGGTGGTTTGGACATGTAGAGAGAATGGAGCGAAACAGAATGACTTCAAGAGTGTATCAGTCTGTAGTGGAAGGAAGGCGGGGTAGGGGTCGGCCTAGGAAAGGTTGGAGAGAGGGGGTAAAGGAGGTTTTGTGTGCGAGGGGCTTGGACTTCCAGCAGGCATGCGTGAGCGTGTTTGATAGGAGTGAATGGAGACAAATGGTTTTTAATACTTGACGTGCTGTTGGAGTGTGAGCAAAGTAACATTTATGAAGGGGTTCAGGGAAACCGGCAGGCCGGACTTGAGTCCTGGAGATGGGAAGTACAGTGCCTGCACTCTGAAGGAGGGGTGTTAATGTTGCAGTTTAAAAACTGTAGTGTAAAGCACCCTTCTGGCAAGACGGTGATGGAGTGAATGATGGTGAAAGTTTTTCTTTTTCGGGCCACCCTGCCTTGGTGGGAATCGGCCAGTGTGATAATAATAATAATAATAAAATAAAGCTTAATTTGAAAACTTACTGTATCTAGTTTAAGATTTGCCTAAAACTACAGTTAACATGGCCTCTGTAAAAAAAAATTATGAAGAAAATGGAGATTGCTAACCTGAAACGCCCAAGGAAAGTGTCAGCAATGATGGCTCCCAAGATGGGCGTAAAATAGCAGAGCATTGACCAAACGTGGTATATGACGGTCGAGTCATCTTCTGAATATCTGAGTTCATTGTGAAGGTATAACGTCAAGATTGCTGTAAAGGAGAATATCGCTCAATATTTTATGTTTGACAGCTTTTATTAACAAGAGATGCAAAACAATCATGGGGGGAGTTGAAAGACAACTGTCTAAAGGACCTCAATGGAAATAAGTCACTGACTTTTTTTGGGGTTATCCCAGGTTCTCTACACATATGCTGCTGTCTTGCCAATAGTACTTGGAGAGGCCTGGTCACAGACCGGGACCACGGGGGCATTGACCCCTGAAACCCTCTCTAGGTATACTCCAGGTATATGTATCGCAATTCAAATGTCCCTTGGAAATGCAACATTCCCACCCCTCCTTTCGAGTGCAAGCCCTGTACTCTCCTCCTCCAGGACTCAAGTCTGGCTAACAGGAGTCTCCGGACTAGGTCAGTGGTGATGTATATGAGTCTGCAGGCTAGGTCAATGGTACTGTACATGAGCATTTAACCTCAAGTTAAATGCCATGCAAGATGCTTGTTATAGTTATCTTGAGGAAGCGTTAGGCCCACAAGAGTTATACAGTGACCTGGAAAAATGAAAGGTAATCGTGTTTGATCCAAGAAAAGGGGTAGTATCTCCAGGTCCTTGGATCAAGAGTCCTCCAGTATCACTGAGGCATCTTTCTTGAAGAGCAGAGAGGATGAGTTACCTCTTACCTCCCACTAAATGATGGAGTAACATACCCCAGCTGACAGTGTCAGCCACCTGGGTACCAGCTGACTTCTACACTGTCAACCACCAAGTGGTACATTACTTTACCATCCAGAAGATGGTACATACCTTCACACCATTAACTTCCGCTATGGCTGCTGGTTTAGTAAGTTTATTTAGGCACAAGTACACATAGGTACAATTATCATACACACATCAAATTTTGTATATATTATACACTTTCTCCCATGGATTCATTCAGAGGAAATGTATTATGCAGAACAAACCACATGGGGATGGAAATCTTTAGCTCTAAATCTTTCGCACTCTCGTGCATCGTCAGGAGCTGGGCAATGTTGCAAGAATAGCAACAGATAGGAAGGGAAATTTTGAAGCGAGGCAGAAGTGTGTCAGCGGCTCATTATTATTATATTTATGAGAGTTAAACTGTTAGAGGTTATAGAACATAAGATAATGGGAGGTGATCAGGGGAAAGCATTGTCAATTCTTTGCATGCGGCCAGCAGTAACAGCCTGGTTGATAAGGCCCTTATTCACTGCGAGGCTTGGTTATGCACTGGGCCATGGGGGTAGTGACCCCTGAAACACCCTCCAGGTATATTCCAGGTATACTCCAGGTAAATGCTTCTGTCACGGGGAGGCTGCTTAACTGCAGGTCAGATTCTATGATAATCAGGTAATTAACTTTACTTAGGTACAGGTACACCTAAGTACAATTATCATACATGGTAACATGTGTAAATTATCCAGGATAACCCAAAAAAAAGCCAAAGTGACTTCTTTCCATTGAGTAAGAGACAAGCTTCTTTACTAACCCATGGGTAAGAGACAAGCTTCTTTACTAACCCATGGGTAAGAGACAAGCTTCTTTACTAACCCATGGGTAAGAGACAAGCTTCTTTACTAACCCATGGGTAAGAGACAAGCTTCTTTACTAACCCATGGGTAAGAGACAAGCTTCTTCACTAACCCATGGGTAAGAGACAAGCTTCTTCACTAACCCATGGGTAAGAGACAAGCTTCTTTACTAACCCATGGGTAAGAGACAAGCTTCTTCACTAACCCATGGGTAAGAGACAAGCTTCTTCACTAACCCATGGGTAAGAGAAGCTTCTTCGCTAACCCATGGGTAAGAGACAAGCTTCTTCACTAACCCATGGGTAAGAGACAAGCTTCTTCACTAACCCATGGGTAAGAGAAGCTCCTTCACTAACCCATGGGTAAGAGACAAGCTTCTTCACTAACCCATGGGTAAGAGAAAAGCTTCTTCACTAACCCATGGGTAAGAGACAAGCTTCTTCACTAACCCATGGGTAAGAGACAAGCTTCTTCACTAACCCATGGGTATGAGACAAGCTTCTTCACTAACCCATGGGTAAGAGACAAGCTTCTTCACTAACCCATGGGTAAGAGAAGCTTCTTCACTAACCCATGGGTAAGAGACAAGCTTCTTCACTAACCCATGGGTAAGAGACAAGCTTCTTCACTAACCCATGGGTAAGAGAAGCTTCTTCACTAACCCATGGGTAAGAGACAAGCTTCTTCACTAACCCATGGGTAAGAGACAAGCTTCTTCACTAACCCATGGGTAAGAGACAAGCTTCTTCACTAACCCATGGGTAAGAGACAAGCTTCTTCACTAACCCATGGGTAAGAGAAGCTTCTTCACTAACCCATGGGTAAGAGACAAGCTTCTTCACTAACCCATGGGTAAGAGACAAGCTTCTTCACTAACCCATGGGTAAGAGAAGCTTCTTCACTAACCCATGGGTAAGAGACAAGCTTCTTCACTAACCCATGGGTAAGAGACAAGCTTCTTCACTAACCCATGGGTAAGAGACAAGCTTCTTCACTAACCCATGGGTAAGAGACAAGCTTCTTCACTAACCCATGGGTATGAGACAAGCTTCTTCACTAACCCATGGGTAAGAGACAAGCTTCTTCACTAACCCATGGGTAAGAGACAAGCTTCTTCACTAACCCATGGGTAAGAGACAAGCTTCTTCACTAACCCATGGGTAAGAGACAAGCTTCTTCACTAACCCATGGGTAAGAGACAAGCTTCTTCACTAACCCATGGGTAAGAGACAAGCTTCTTCACTAACCCATGGGTAAGAGACAAGCTTCTTCACTAACCCATGGGTATGAGACAAGCTTCTTCACTAACCCATGGGTAAGAGACAGGGTTGTTTACTAACCCATTGGTAAGAGACAGGGTTGTTTACTAGCCCATGGGTAAGAGACAAGCTTCTTTACTAACCCATGGGTAAGAGACAAGCTTCTTTACTAACCCATGGGTAAGAGACAGGGTTGTTTACTAACCCATGGGTAAGAGACAAGCTTCTTTACTAACTCATGGGTAAGAGACAAGCTTCTTTACTAATCCATGGGCAAGAGACAGGGTTGTTTACTAACCCATGGGTAAGAGACAAGCTTCTTTACCAACCCGTGGGTAAGTGACAGGGTTCTTTACTAACACATTCCCCTTTGTTTCTATGGATAATGTTTTTTATCTCCACAGACTTCTCTGTGCACCACTCACTTTTTTCCCTCATCAACTCGTCCTTCATGGACTTATCTGCTGATAAGTCCACTTCCAAAGGTGTGAATGCATTTGCTTTCTCCATGCTCCTTCCCTCCAATCTGATATCCAGTCTTTCAATACCTAGATTTTTTGTTTGCTGTCCTCATCAGCTTTCTCTTTTCTGTGTTCACTTTTAATTTCTTTCTTTTACATGCCCTGCCAGGCTCCTCCGCCAACCTCTGCAGCTTCTCTTCAGGGTCTCCCAGGGGCACGGTGTCATCAGTAAGGAGCATCTGTGACGACTCCCACTTTGTTAGATTCTTCTTCTTCTGTTGGGGTTTCAGGGCCACTGACAGTATACGCCGTAGTTTGTTAGATTCTTTATCTTGTGATGACACACCTCTTGCCAACACCCGAGCATTAGCTTGTCTTGCGGCTGCCTGTGAATACGCGGGCAACCATGGTGACATCATACATCCCTGAGGCTTGCTTTTACTGGGAAGTGGTCTCCCTCTCTCCTGCATGCTCCTGCCTAGGCCTCGCTGTCCTCGTGAGGATTCTTCAGTAACCTACCTTCTGTTCCATATGTCTGCGACGTCTGCCACATTGCTCCCTTATCCTGTGGCCCTCTATATTGAGGTACTAGAGGGCCATCTGAAATTACACTTCGACATTCACCGCGGCCAGCAGTAACAGCCTGGTTGATCAGACCTTGATCCACCACGAGGCCTGGTCTCAGACCGGGCCGCTAGAGCATTGACCCCGGTACCCTCTCCATGAATACTCCAGGTATGGGTAAGAGTTTTTTACTAACCCATGGGTAAGAGGCAGGGTTCTTTATTAACCCATGGGTAAGAGGCAGTGTTCTTTATTAACCTATGGGTAAGAGGCAGGGTTCTTTATTAACCCATGGGTAAGAGGCAGGGTTCTTTATTAACCTATGGGTAAGAGGTTGGATTCTTTATTAAACTATGGGTAAGAGGCAGGGTTTTTTATTAACCCATGGGCAAGAGGCAGGGTTCTTTATTAACTCATGGGTAAGAGGCAGGGTTCTTTATTAACCCATGGGTAAGAGGCAGGGTTCTTTATTATCCCATGGGTAAGAGGCAGGGTTCTTTATTAACCTATGGGTAAGAGGCAGGCTTCTTTACTAACCCATGGGTAAGAGGCAGGGTTCTTTACTAACCCATGGGTAAGAGGCAGGGTTCTTTACTAACCCATGGGTAAGAGGCAGGCTTCTTTATTAACCTATGGTAAGAGGCAGGGTTCTTTTCTAACCCATGGGTAAGAGGCAGGGTTCTTTACTAACCCATGGGTAAGAGGCAGGCTTCTTTATTAACCTATGGTAAGAGGCAGGGTTCTTTATTAACCTATGGGTAAGAGGCAGGCTTCTTTACTAACCCATGGGTAAAAGAGGCTATTTTACTAACCCATGTGTGGCATGGGTTAGTGGTTAATTAAAGCGAGTGTGGGTGAAGGCGAGTTGATTCACAATAAGGAAGTCTGGGATGACTGCTAACGTGCCCTCTCTTCCCTGGTAGTATCCCTCTGGTAGTACCTCCCAGGTAGTATCTCCCTGGTATTCCAGATTTTCTTACACGTTGAAATTATTTTGAATTAGACGTAGGGTACAGAAATATTACCTTATATTTTAGCAAATTCAAGCTTACCTTGTTAAAATATGGTAATATTGTTTTGTATTTTTTTTGTGTGACCTAATTCACGTCTGCGTAAGTAACTCATTACAACTGTAACCGGATAAAAGCATGTAAATGTGCCTGTGTAATTTTTTGACCATCACTCACAGGAAGGATATATGGTGACCACTAACA